GGTTTGAAACAAGATATGTATGTAGTTAATTGTGAAAATCGGAGTGCATTAGACTTGAAGCAAGAATGCTCCTTATCATTCTCGGACGAAGCACGTTGATATGAGATATCATTGGCTACGACAGATAGTAGCAGAACAATTGATATTGTTAGAGAAGATTCATACTAGGAGAATCCAGTCAATATGATGACTAAGGTTGTGACTAGAGAAGATCTTGAGCTTTGTGCCGGACTGGCCGACATGGACTCTAACTAATTTGTTAGAGGCTAATTTCCTTCCTCAATGGGCTGAAGGAGAAGAATGTTATATGGACTCTAGCCCATGATGAAAATAAGAGGCCCAATAAGGTAAAATTATTGGTAATGTGTGTATATATATAAATATACACACACATCAAACTGTGCTGTGCATTAGAGAAAAAAGGGACTGGAGGCTGCTGTGAAATAGAGAAATACAAAGGTTGTCTTAGAAAAGTAAAAAACGGAGGCTTTCCATTGAGAGATCAAAAAGGGGCTGCTGAAGACGAAATAAAAGAAGGAGAAAATGATTTTTTCTTTCAATTTGGGTGTGGATTCACACAGATTTTTTTCTTCTCCACATAATACAATTTGGGATTTTCTCTAAAGTGTACTTTGTGTACTCTGAAGGTGTAGTATTCAAAATGAGTTCTCACAAGGTAAATCAAATTGGTGATTTGTGGTGAGATAAATTGTTATCTTAGAGATTAATTATTGTGACATTTTCAATTTGTTGAGAATTCAAGGTTTGGGGCAAAAACTTGAATATTGTAATCTATATTTTTATTATAGTGGATTTGGCTGGAATTGCCCCGTGATTCTTTTTCCCTCTACACTGGAGGGTTTTTTCTACATAAAAATTTGGTGTTATGCCTGTTTATTTTTGCTTTAATTATTTACTTGCATATTTAATCACTCTAGTTGGTTGCTTGGATTGGTGAATTTATTCTTGCAATAAGTGAAATTTTCCCAACACTTAGGATTTACAAGTGAATGACAATTGTACCCCTACAGCCCTAAAAATTATTATTGTCATGTTCCAAATTCTGCTCTATAAATATAGGGCTTAGATTCTTAATAAAACACACACAAGTCTATTGACTTTCATTCTCTCTTATCTTTTTCTCTCTTTTCAAAACAGCTCTTGGTTTATTTAAATATACGCATAACACACAAATTTTTACAAAACATGTTGATTTTAATTTGAAACATAATTATTTTACCATGTTTACATTTGAATGTTATGACAAATTTCTTCTTAGCACTATTATGGTTACATAAATCTTTAGAATTTCTTGTATTATTGATTCTTGAAATTTGAATATGTAGCTTCTCATATTGTGTCACCAAAGCTAACAAATTGTATTATAGCTCATGATTTTATTTAACCAAAAATTTTTTCCGTTTTTAAGACGTGTTATTGATCAAAATCTTTTTAGATTTAGTGTTGTTATTTTATAGTAACAAAATTATTATAGGACCTCAGCATGTTATATTAAGATTAATCATTGCCGTAGCATTGCAACTATTTTTTGTAATTTTCATTTTAGCTAACATTTAGCCAGAATATGAAGACGACGATGCATAAAAAGAATTTAAAAATATTGTTGACATGATATGAAAGCTTCTTTTGTTTTTTAACTCATATTGTACTTGTTATAGTTATTTTGGGATATCTTTTTGGTTCGATGGACACACCAAACTTATTTTGTTACTTAACAATTGGCAAATATAATTTGGATGGAAGATAGAACTAAGATTTGATGGTCATTGAAAGAATCAAAACCTAATTCGGAGAAGAAAAATAGAAACCCACCCCTATGAATCATAGGTTATGAATTTTTAAAATATATTTTGTATATTACAAAAAAATAATAATAAATTAGGTTTAGGGTTTTCATTTTATTCAGTTCTTGTCTAAGTCAATAATGTGGAACCTCGGATGAGCATTTGTTGTGATACAAAATGATTTTTCTCTTATTGTTTTGAGTAGAATTGGTTTCTTGGCCCCAATAGATAGGATAAAAACTTTCCACTACTAATGTTGTAGAGAGAAACATAAATGTAGTTTTCTGAATGCATGACTATTGTAAAGAATCATAAGTAAAGTTTTATTGCCGTGTCAGCGGTGGAAAGTTTTTATTTTGTCCACCATAGGCAGGAAATCAGATATGTTGTTTTGAGATTGTACAATACATTGCATTGGGATTCTCTTATTTGCTGGTTTGTAAATTTGTTAGTTGACATTTCTGGTTAACCTTTCTATGACCCCTTTTTTCAAGCATTATAGACCATGATATTGTGCTATTAATGTAAAACACTTCGGATATGTTATCACGATAATATATTTTTCTTATGTTATTTTGTCAAGTAACAAAATCTTGATGTTCATCTGTTTCAACACCTCCCTTTTAAATGGCAGCATGATAATTCATTGTATTGCATATAGAATATATTTTATTGGCTTTATTTTTCATGTAAAATGATTCAAATTCCTACATTTATGGTGTTTGATTGTTTTTTTGATATCCTTTATAGTAGTCAACAGCTGCTACTTAGCTTGTTCATATAGTTTCAATTTTATTGCCTTTTGTTCGCACGTAGTAGACACGATGAAACTATGGTAATTAACATGAATTGGTTATGAACTAACGTGTAATTCAATGCTTTAGCATTTCACGTTATA